CTGCAGCGGGCGAGGCGCAGGCACGTCCCCCGCACGCGGGCGTGGGCTCAGGTCGCCGGGGACCGGGGACCGGGGGGGCCGTGGGGAGCCCGCCGCCGCCTCCGGGCTCGCGTCGCACGGCCGCCAGGAGCGGAGGGAAAGCAACAGCCCGACACGAAACGTGTTCAACTCAAACAACCCAACGAGCACAAGAAGATCCAAAAAAAAAAAGAAAAGAAAAAAAAAAGACAAAAAGAAAAAAAGAAAGAAAAAACCACCCCCCCACTCCCAAGTCCGGCGCCTCCAGCCCAGCCCAGCCCAGCCCAGCCTTGCCTGCCCCGGCGCAGCTCCCCGCTCTCGGCCAGGGTAAGTTGATCTATTTTGTGCGCGCGTTTGTGTTAAAATGTGTGCGGGAGCAGAGAGGAACTCACCATTTCGCTGGGGTAATAAGGCCAGATCGGGGTCGGACTGGAAATGCTGAGGCTTCGCCTGCTTCCTCCGCGACATGCTGGCTCAAACATCAGCTGGGGCAGAATAAAAAATTACTAAAAAAAAATCTTCTCAAAATTACGGAAATCGAGCCTCCCCCCCCAGCCCGCCCGGTCCTCCGCGCACCGCGCATGTGTCCTGCTATAATTATGATTATCAATAATGCATTGCGATTAATCATAGAGGGGCTCTTTGAAAGGCGATTGGCACATGGCCAGCTCTATTCAAACCAGCTCGCCTTAATCAATTAGGCGCTGATTTGCTGGAGACCCTTGTCTCTCTGCAGCTCCCACCCAATGAGTCGATCCATGTGGCAGGAGAAGGGGCTGGATTTCCCCAAAGCTGTTTGGATACAGTTTAACCCTCTTAGCAACCAGCTGGGACTGTATCACGCCATCCCTGTTACTATAGGAATGTGTCTCCCCCCCCGCCCTCCGGCCCGGCCGCTCGCGGCTGTCCCGGGCTCTCCCCATTTTTCTTTCTGCAAAAGGGCAAAGAGAAAACGAGAAGTGTCCGCACGGGGAACCAACAAGGGATCGGGGAAGAGAAACATCCCGACCCCGGCGAGAGCCCGGAGCAGCCCCGGCGCGGCGCGGAGCACCTCTCCCGGGCGTTGGGAACTCACCGCTCCCCTCCTGCCGCCCGGGAAGCGGAGGGGGGAGGGGGGGAAACTTTTCAGTGGTATTTTCTGGTGAGCTTTTTTTTTTCCTTTTCTTATAAAGGCAACTGTTATGTTCACGTTTCCCAGGCATAAATTGTACCTTGCCCAGCTAGATCCCAGTGTCCCCGCCTCTGCCTGCGACTGCATTATTCCCAGCCCTGCTGCTGCAGCTGCAAAAAGTTTTTTGGGGCGCTTTGCAAATAAAGATCCTCCCCCCACCTCTTCC